AAATGTTGTTGCCACACTGGAGTCCATTTTGAATGGATGAGTGTTCATGTTTTGATGGCTTTCTCAAACAGGGGATAAGAAATTGCTGCAGCTTTACTCAGCTTTGTACTGGGTAGTGGCACTCAGCCTAACATCACATCAAAATGGGGAGGGAGACGTACATCATACCATTGCCCAATCTGGAACTAATTTGATATTATAAGCTTTATAAAACTTTATAAAGCTGTAAGTAATTTTACAATATTTCAGGAGTTTAGAATACTCATTTACTTCAAACAGATCTGACACAAAAATTCTTATTCTTTTAGGCTTTTTGAGTAAAAGAATAATAATAAAATGTAATATCAATTACAGAGCACAGGATTTTTTAACACACAGTCTTCAGAATACTATTGAAAAACTATTTGTAGTGTCAGCAATTTCCCTGCCTAAATTGATACTTTTTTTTTAATTCATCAGAGCTTCTCTCAAAAATATGCACAGTTTTGATTGCCCAAATCCTAAATTGTGGCTTTGCCTTCTAAATGTTTTTTTCCCTTCTAAATGTCTCTTATACCAAACTCTTACTCAGAATGAGAACGAGTTCACACTTTCTGCATCACTGACAAGACTGTCTCTGGCAATGACAGTTTCACCTTCTTTATCTCATATTTGTGTTATTTGTAAAGATAAGAAGTTTGAACAAATATTAAGTTTTGAGAAAGCATTTCCTAACTAAATGGAAAACAATCAATCCCTCTTTTTTCTTGAGTGTACATCTTGGCACACCTAAGTCAGTATATACCAGTACTTTATTTACTCTTACATGAAAAGAGGAACATGGAGAGATAAGGAAATAGAGGTGCCTTGCATGCAAGCATTTGTAAAGGGTTAGCTAAAGAACATTAGGATTTTCTTTGGAACTGGTGAGACGAGCATTTATTTAAAAGTTGTAAAGAAAAAAACCTAAGTAATGATGACCAAATCCAACTGATTCAGACAAAATAATAAACTAGATGATAATGGATTAAATTAAAAATTAAATAAGTAACAAGCTGAATATCATACAGAAAACAGATGTTGTCAAACTATTTTAATTTTTTCGATACTACAAATTTGCCTGACATCAGTAGCTGATAAATATATTTAGAAAGGGAAGCAATGAGATTCTGCAGTCTGACCTCCTGCCTAGCACCATCCATACTAGGCTGAAGTCCAATCTTTGTTGCTGGACATGTGTTTCAGAAAAAATGTTCCATATTTACTTTTTGATAGTAAATAGGGTGAATTCTTACAAGCCAGGATAACTTGCATTGGTGGTTATTTTCCTGGCAAGTTAAAATCTATGTGTGGTATTTATATTTGGTGGTTTGCACTTTCCAAGCAATGAAAGCTTAAATCCTTAAACAGCTGGTAAGATCTAAGACTCCCATGTTACCAAATTTCCACTCCCGTAAATGCCACAAGATTATACCAACAAATATAAACCAATCATGACCTGCACTTCGTAGGATTCTCATGACTGTTCTTGTGAATCTTTTAACAGTTTTGACATCAAAACAGTGTGCTATTTTAGTTTTCGTTATGCAAGTGTCAAAAGCAGAGAAAAAAACATTTTCTCCACTCCACTGTTTTCTGTTCATACTTCCAAAAATCGTATTAGTTCTCTTGGACCTGGTATCATGATGCATTCTCATATTCAGCTGATGAGCCATACAAATCCTTATGTTTTTCAGATTCAGTGTTTCTCAGGTAAAAATCAGAGAATCAAAGAATTTTTAAGGTTGGAAAACACCTCTAAGATCGAGTCCAATCATTATCTCTTCATCCTATATACGTATCTACTGATATGCAACCATTATGGAACATAGTTTATTTGCTTACATCTTGTTTATCAAAACACTTTGTCCCAGACATTGGACAGAAATAAACTAGGAGGAGGTCACCTGAGCTTTTTTCACATGTGCATTAGAAATCATGTAATGTTTTCAGAAAAAAAGAGGAAAAAAAAAAACAGAAAAAGGCATTTTTGTTACCTTACTTTGCAGAAAGAGGAAACGTGGAAATCTTTGATGCAGAGATTATTTGGATACATTTTTGTATTTTTTTCAAAAATGTTCATGACTTTCAAACTTCTGAATTTCTCATAGAGGAACAGACAGTGTACTCTATAAACACAAAGCAAGAAAGATGCTTCACCAGACCAGTCAAGAGTTGATGTCATTACTCACATTAGAGTGGGGGTGAGCTGAGAGGAGGATGCTCTGTTATGCTCTTCTGCAAGGAGTAAATAAAACCCATTCAAGGAGACACGATGCCAGGCTGTAAGGGCTTTCGTCTCATCAAGTGCAGCAGTTCATAATACTTAAGTGTATTGCTTCTGTAAGAGCAGTACAACATAACAAGAATTGCCTCTCTCCTAATATGTCTGGAAAAATTTTACATTTTGACCTCCAAGCATTCATGTAAATACTTCAAAAATACTGTTTTTGCAGCCAAATGCTGCAAAAGCTTCTGGGAGAAGCTTTTCTGATGCAAAAATTACCACGAACCTTTTTCCACAGAATTCAAAGGAGGGCAAATAAAACAAAAGCAGGGCAGGAACACTGGCTCAGTATCTTGTGGTAACGAGCAGAAATAACTTAGGCTTCAGGAGACATGAAGTCTCAGTATTTACTGCTACAGTTACAGAATAGCTGTGTAGCATGTTAGACTAAACAATAAGAAGTTAATAATTAATAAATCCTTGGCCTCTAAATTGTACATTTAAACTTGCTAACTACTCATCAGGTAGTATCTCTCACACATAGAAGAAAAAAGATTATACTTGGTTCAGCTGTATAGTTTGCTACTGTAGACTGTTCACCACAACCATCCACCTCCTAAGACAACAGCTTGATAAGTATAATTTTAACCATCAGTGATGGTACTTGCCTTCTTCAGCCACTCATTCCCACTACTATTAGTCATTTCAGCTGTGTCAAAGGAAATCCTCACTACATAGTAAGGTGTATTGGAAAAATGATATCTGGAATAATTTTCTTTCTTTCTTTTCTTCCTTTCTGTCTTTCTTTCTTTCTTTCTCTCCTTTCTTTCTTTCTCTCTTTTCTTTCTTTCTTTCTCTCTTTTCTTTCTTTCTTTCTCTCTTTTCTTTCTTTCTTTCTTCCTCTCTTTTCTTTCTTTCTTTCTCTCTTTTCTTTCTTTCTTTTTCTTGCTGGATGATTTTTAACCCAGACTGTTCCTTAACTTAGGGAATTAAGTGACAACATATCTACAGATTAACCCCCATCAAACCCATAATAATAAAAAAACCCGACATTAAAGTCCCCCACGTTGAACAAAAGCAGTAGAGCTGAAAAGGACAAGTTTCCACAGTGTGAATTTAAACAAGGAAAGAAGATAATAGGCCTTTAAAAAGTACTTATTATTAACATCCTTCCAGACAGAATTATTGGTAGAGTGGCTCTTTTCTTTTTCTTATTATAAAAATAATTTATAACCTAATCCCAGATAAAATTAGTCCACCTATATTATCAATATATTTTTTCCTCAGCTTTCATTCTGCCATGAAAATATTTGCTGCAACACACCAATCAGTAGAAGGCACCAATCAGTTTGTACCTGGCTTCACAGGTAGTCTGTGCAGTCTGTGGACAAACATGTCACATGAAAAATTTTGAAAGTCTATACACATGCATAAACTATTTTGTAGAGTCAAGCACAGCTATTAAAGCCCTGTACATATCATGTAGAGGGCTGAAAAAATAAATATGTGGTAACATTTAAAAGCTTGCATTTTTGCCTTGCTTCTGAGAGTAAGCCCAGTCTGAAGCCCTGTCCCTAGTTTACCGGATTTAAATGAGCATGCACCCCTCTTATCTCATTACTCATTCAGATTGGGAGATGTGGATCATTAAGCTGGGTACTAATTTGCTCCTAAACTGCACTCATTCATCATGAGTTGGCAGTGAGAGGTTGACCAAGTCAGTTGTGGAATACATCTGTGACCCTCCCATGGATTGTGTATTTTCTGCATGAGTTACTTAATAAATTCTCTGGAAGTTATTTTAACAGTTTTAGTAGCCATTTTTGTTAAGCACAATGATTTCTGTGGTCAGGTCAGATACCTGGTTAGATATAGAGGTTGTATTCAAAACTCATCTTCTATAATCTCAATCTATGTGTTTAGTATTACCTTCTTTATTGTGTCAAAAGGGTATTTCTGTACTGTTCTTCATAAAACGACATTTCTGATGGACTATTATGATAAATCACAACAGAATCTGGTATTGCACAGAATGTTGTATCTTCACTGGGGATAACGCATTTGTCAGTAAGGGTTATCTAGACTGGGTGAGGAGGGGGTTTCTCTGAGGAGATTCATGTAATTGCTAAGGGATTCTTATATGTGCTTCTGACTTAAGCTTCTCTCTCATGAACACATTCTGCAATAACTTAACTTGTGCCTCAGATTATTTTTCATGATAAAGATATTTTCAGCAATCATTTGTTGGATGAAGAGGTACTAAAATCCATAATATGATTCATCATCATGTGTTGTGCCAGCCATGTTTTAATAAATAGTAAATCTATTGTAAATATTTTTACAAAATGTATGATTATGAAAACATCACAACAGATTGGGAATTAAACACATTTGCAACACATAAACTGCCCAACATTCTAGTTAAGGAAACTTCTGTAATAGAAATTTTACAGAGACTACTTTTTACCTACTCATAGACGTCTGGGGTTTTTGCCAGCTTATAATAATTTGTAAAAATATTAGCATAATACAAGCTAGAGACAGGAGCAACATAAAAAATCACTCGTTTTATACACAAAGCAAAATTGGATTCTTATCACCTCTTAATATTGTAGTATTTTTGTTTAATAACTAAAAGAAACCACATATTGTGTTTTTTTTTTCCCTTGGTGTAGAACTAGAACTGTTCACCCTTAAAAAGAAGTAGACAAATATTTATATATGTAAATTGAAACATACTAAATCACTGAATTACCTAATTTTTCAGAGGGAAGAGAAACACTGCTTTTTCCAGGATCCAGAATAACAGCCAAACCTTCAGATAGTGATGGAAGGATGCTGGTACTGAGATCTACGCGAGTTAGGCTTTCAGGTTCTCTTTCCAAGGCTTTTAGAATACCTCCAACACAGTTATTTTCTGTCCCCTCCTTGTTCTGACCGTTCTTCTGTGGACTCTGAACAATATGAACAATGCTCTGCTGGGCCAAGTCACACTTCTGCAACACAAAACAAAAATCCCAATAAGTAATTAATTGTGACATAATGGACAAAATTCCTCTATCTCCAACGTGTTATTTGCTAAATTGTCTCCAAGCCACTTTGTGGAGAATTTTAGTGGACGGTAATGGAGTTTAAAGCAAAGCGACAAGGGTAAATTGCTGGAATCAGGATTACTTGCATTGCCAAAAGGGTCACAACACTTACAAGTTTTAAACATTTAACAAAGAAATGGCGGACAGAGCCAACAGCTCTAAATAAGTCTGGTTTATTGGCACAAATGAAAAACTCCAGAGGTAGCACTACTAAATCAAGCACTAATAATATTCAACGCTTAATAGGCACTCGCACAGATAATGCTGATACACACTCTTCATGTAGCAATTTAACGTCAAATTTGATTATCACAGAGAGTTCATGAAGATCTCTCAAGCTACTACAAAGTATTTTTATAAACAGAAACAGGGAAGATGATGCTACTGATGGAGACTGATACTTATTGCTTCTATAGATAGCTGATGTCATTGCAAAATCTCTCGATTTTTGAGCAGTCTTGGGAATATGGAGAAGTCCCAGCTGATTGGAAGCTGGCAAATGTTGTCCCAATTTTCAAGAGCAAGAAGGAGGATCCTGGAAACTACAGGCTTGTCAGTCTAAATACAGTACTGTGTAAAGTTATGAAGAAGATTATTCTGAGAGGTATTGAAAAACACCTGAAAGACAAAGCAGTCATTGGTCACAGCCAGCATGGAAAGCCCTGCTTATCTAAACTGATTTCCTTCTATGATAAGGTAATCCACCTGGTTGATCAAGGGAAGCCAGCTGATGTAATCTTTTTGGATTTCAGCAAAGCTTTCCTTACTGTCTTTCACCATATCCTTCTGGACAAAATGTCCAAAACAGTTGGATAAACACATCATGTGGTGAGTGAGCAATTGGCTCACGGGTGAAGCACAGAGGGTAATAGTGAATGGGGTAACATCAGACTGGTGACCTGTCACTAGTGGGGTTCCACAGGGCTGCATCTTGGGCACAGTGCTCTTCAACATCTTCATAAATGACTTGGATGCAGGACTGGAAGGGATACTAAGCAAGTCTGCAGATGATACAAAACTAGGAGGAGCTGTTTATTCCCTCAGAGGAAGGGAGACCCTGCAGACAGACCTCGATAAATTAGAGGACTGGGGCAATCACCAACCATATGAAGTTCAACAAGGGAAAGTGCCCAATTCTGCATCTGAGATGGGGCAACCCTGGATGTTTGTACAGACTGGGGAATGAGATGCTGAAAAGCAGTGCCACGGAAAGGGACCTGGGGGTCCTGGTCAACAGCAAGCTGAATAAGAGTCAGCAGTGCCCTGGCAGCCAGGAGGGCCAACCGTGTCCTGGGGGCATCAGGCAAAGCATCACCAGCCAGCCGAGGGAGGCGATTGTCCCGCTCTGCTCTGCACTGGTGTGGCCTCACCTGGAATATTTTGTGCAGTTTTGAGCACCACAATACAGGAAAGATACCGAGCTATTAGAGAGCATCCAAAGGAGGGCAATGAAGATGGTGAAGGACCTTGAGAGGAAGCCGTGTGAAGAGTGGCTGAGGTCACTTAGTCTCTTCATCCTGCAGAAGAGGAGACTGAGGGGAGCCCTCATCACAGTCTACGACTTCCTCATGAGGGGAAGAGGAGGGACAGGCACTGATCCCTTCTCTGTGGTTACCAGTGACAGGACCCGAGGGAATGGCCCGAAGTTGTGCCAGGGGAGGTTTAGGTTGAATATCAGAAAAAGGTTCTTCCCCCAGAGGGTGGCTGGGCACTGGAACAGGCTCCCCAGGGGAGTGGTCGCAGTCTGGCAGAGTTCAAGAAGCATTTGAATGATACTCTCGGGTGCATGGCGTGACTCTTGGGGATGGTCTGTGCAGGAGTTGGACTCGATGATCCTTGTGGGTCCCTTCCAACTCGGCATATTCTGTGTGATTCTGTGATTCTCCCTAATGTAATTTTCAGTTTAAATCTGGGTTTAGATATAGACTCAGTATGAGTTTCCCATTGTTTCATGAAATGACATTTAACTGTTGAATTTAGAGTTAGAGAAAGCCTGTGGAAGATCTCATGACTGCTATAGTCTTTGCTGATAAAACAAAAGGATTGCTAGCAATTTTAGCCCAATTCATGATATCATTTTGTTGTCTCACATATATATAAGTTCTTCCTCTTTTTCAGTCCTCAGTAGAGGTGATTCTTAGATAGTCTTCCCAGATCTTTTGTTTTAGAAAAAAAGCAGGATGAATAAAGATCTTAAGAAACATCTATTCATGATAAATCAGGATAAAATTCACATCTTGTACAGCATTTTCCTAATACAGAACAGAAAAGCAAAATATTACATCAGAATTAGAAATCACAGAGAATTTAGAAGACCTATCATTAATGAAGGGCATTCAAGAAAGACTTGTATTGATCTCTCCACAACACACCTTGCAACAAAATTTGTTCTTTTTTGCGTGATACCTTCTGGAGATCCACACCTAGTTCTCTAGTGTCATGAATGAACCACACACAAACATCAATCTACACAGAAAGTAGTTTGAATTTCCCTCAGGAAATTAATTTTCCAACTCTTTGCAGCATCATTAGGTTGGCCATCTCTGCCATGAAATGTCAAGACAGACCGCTGACTACATTTGGGAGGAACAGAAAGAGAATTCTAAAGCATTTGCCTCTGTATCTACAAAATATTTAGATGTTTTAGTTTAGACTGTAGTAGTTTATATTACAGATGCAATTATTGCATGCACTTTTAATTGCAAAAGATTCCTTTATAGATATTTTAGTGCTGTTTCTACCCTTGTTATTACCCACTTTCTCTTCTACCACATTTTCAACTCTGGTCTCCTCTCTGTTTGGTGGTTTTCCTTCATTCTCTTTAATTATTTCTCAGTACTTCTCTCTCCACCCTTGCAAGGCATTTCTAAAAGATAAAAATCTGTTGTTTTGTTTTGTTTTAATTGAATTTTTAATAACACACTCTCTCCTTAGTGAAGCAGTAATCAGCTAGCACAGATTTGTCAAGCAAAGACGCTGCAGTCTTAATATTCAATCAAAGCAGTTATTAGATTTCAACTTTAAAACATTATGTTGACATTAAAGGTCTCCTTTTTTCTGTACAACTTGTTGCCCTCAGCATTTTAACAAGATCCCTTAAATAGTTTAATAATTTCATTCATTAATAAAAAATCCAAAACATGTCTGTCACTCTAAAACTTCTCCAACTAAGAATACTGCATGACATTAAGGAATTTAATAACCTAAGAGAAATTAATAATGAATTTAGTAATCTAGGCAAATGAGGAGCTCAAAAGTGATTTGCTCAGTTACAGTGAGAATTAAAAAAGAAAAACAGGTATATATGTAAAAACTCACACCTTCATAAACCCCTAATAAACTGCCAATCAGTCATACTCTGTTTTAATGAGCATCTTTTCTGGCAGTTTTGCTTGTTTAAGCAGACCCTGTCCTGCCTTTCATTTTTCTCCCATCATCTACTATCCTTCTCAGTTTTTTTTAAAGCTTGCATCAGTTCCTGATTCAGTTCACATCTTAATGCTGTGCAACATTTACACTGAGGAGATGGTGCACATGAGAGAATAAGAGGGATGGCTACGGCTGCTTAAATAAAACAAAATTCCCCCACACCACCACAACCTTTTTCAACCACTCCTGCTTGATCTTGACTGCTGTACACATTTAGATGCCTGGTTAAAATTGACTGATCTTTTAAAAGTATACATTCTTTTCCAGTTCTTTTTTTTGCAAGCTGGAGGGTTATGTGGTTAGCTCAGAAACAAAGGAAGGGATGACAAAACAGAACTCCAACTTTAAAGATTGAATATCAGTACTGATGATGATAGTGTAGATAATAGTCATGGGAAAGCTTAGTTAGGAGATCTCAGGATAATTTTTCAAAGATAGTGGGTAGGAGAAAGAAACAACATCCTCATTTATACACTTTGCAGATTTGATATGGAAGTCACTGAGCAACAGTAAACATGGAAATCCAAATCATCCATTTTGTAATGTTGTTTCTCATTACATTTGAATTGAATTTGGCTTGTGTTTAAAGGAGGAAAGTAATTCCCAACCTTGGTGAGAAAAGTGATAAAACAGCACAAGAAGAAAATAAAAAAGGGTTGTGATCACATCTTAATTGTGGAGAGATCTGGATGGGAATATCATCTAGCATTGACCAGAATTTGGGTGATTAATACTTTATAGCAGACTACATTTCACAGACAATAGATGGGCTAGGTCTGCAGCTTTTTCTTTGAAGTAGAATTCAAACTATTTCTGTAAATGTTTAGGTTTTGCCTCAGGTTACTATTGTAAGATACAATTGTTTATGTCAATGTCACTTTCATTTTCTTCATGTATTTGTTTTACGCCTCAGGAAACATTCTTTTGAGAATATCTACTATTAAAGATTCTAGAGATATTGTCTTGTCTTATCTGTTGATCCAAATTAATGCCGGTGATCCATATTCCAAAGGGGAACACTGCAAGTGTATATACTGTAGATTATGAAGTATTTCCCTCGCTAGAGCAAAGGGAGCTGAGACGATCCAGAAATAATGAAACTCAGTGTTAAGGACTGGTTCTTTAGAGACAATGACGTTTGGCCAACTTGGGAAAATGAATTCATAGCAGAAGAAATTAAAACTTGTTTCATTCAAGCCTTTTGCTTTTTTTTCTTTTTTTTCTGAATTCTCAAGTTGAACTTCACAAGGCTGAGTCAGCACGTCTTGAGTGAGTAACACAATATTCTTTGGTGCTGACAGCTGTGGGCTAACTAGAAGGTCAACTGGGGAGACTGAACTAAATTATGAAGAGGGAAAAGACAATTGTGTTTCAGTAACTCTGAAATCTCTTGTTGGGCTCTGGGGAGACCTCACTGCAGACTTTCAGTACTTAAAGGAGGCTTATAAAAAAAAAAAAAAAGGGAGACTTTTTAC